GGCTGCAGGCAGAGTCGCTGCCGCCCGGCCGCCGCTGGCTCCAGGCCGCCGCCATTATCCTTTGTTCGCTGCGAGCGGCGGCGGGGTTGTGGGGCTCGGGCGGAGGCTCCATCTTTACCGCGGCCCCTCCTGCGAGGGGAAGGCCCCGCGCGCGGGCGTCCGGCGCCTCCCCGTCCCCCTTGCGTCCCCCCGGCTCTCTCCGGCTCCTGCCTCCTCCTCCTGTTCCTCTTACCGGTGGTACAAGCGCCTCCGTCACTGCTTTCGTTCGCGGCCCGGATCTCGCTGGAGTTTTATTCTCTCCCCCACGTAACACACCGCGTCAAACTACACCTCCGCCGCGTCACTCACCAACACTCCGCTTCTCCCAGCCGCCCGGGCCACAGGCAGCAGCAGCCGCCGCCGACTGAGGAGCCGCAGCCAGGGAGCCAGCCAGCGCCGCCCAGTGCCGAGTGCGCAGCGGCCGCGCACGGAAATAGCCGAGCGCCGCCCGGAGCCGCTCGGGTCGCCCCGCCTCCGCGCTGCGGGCGGAACTTGCCGAAGGCCTTCGCGCTCTTTCGGGCGCGGCGGAAGAGTTCTACACGGGCAAGGAAGGTGAAAGAACGGTTGAAACATTAGTGGCACTAGGCTACCTGAAGCGCGGCAGCGGAAATGTGGAGGAAGCGGGGTTTGTGTGGCCAGGTGGGGAATTCCCGGGTGTTGGTAGCTGGATGGAAATCCCCGAAGCGGTAGGCCGCTGCTGCGGCTCCTCAGCTTGCCCTCTAGATAGGGCGCGGTCGTGCGGCTCCCGCGGTTGGGGGTGCGGGACTCGGCGACGCGCTGGGCTGCGACCCGCGCTAGATGTGGGGACAGGAGTTTTGGGCCCGGGTGGGGCCATGTTCCCGCCAAAAGTCAGTGCGCATTTTGGAAGACGGAGGCTGCGGGACGCGTGGATGCAGGCCAGCGACGAGGACACCAGGGCCTCCGAGCGACTGCCTGCGTCTCGACTTTGGAAATGTGCCCCGCCCCAGCGGCCCGCCAGGTTTCAGGCGGCACCTGGTGCCGCCTGCTCTTCTCAGCCGTTTTCTCCAGCGGTGCTTTGCACTCGCTGCACCCTCTTTTTCGCCCACCCCCACCCTGAACAGCAGTTTGACTTCCATAGACATGCACCTGCTTCCCGAGGTCATCCAGGGCCGAACACAGATTCTCCATTCTCACTTTCTTGAATCCAGTCATCCTCTTTTGAGACTTTTCCTTCTGGATTCGGCCCTTTGTGACTTCTACCACAAGATGTTAACTTTTTGCTAGGTCCCATTCTTTGCCGCTTGCAGGACATAGCCTGAGGATTCCTTTTTACTTTCAACTTTTGTTTCGCTACCCCCTCTTTCGTTTTGATTACTGATCCCCAAAAATAAAAGTTCACAAGCTTCGGGTTAGGGATATAGCTTAGGGGCAGAAGAGCTTGTCTGGAAGCGCAAGGTCCTGAGATCGATTCCTGGTGAGAGAAAGAAAAGAAATGAAAACTCCTTCCTAGTTCCCTAACATATCCATCTTGTATCTATGGCTGCTCTTTCCTATCCCCTGCTTAACCCTCCCCAATCTACCATTGCTTCTTACCGCTCACCTGAGGCATCTCGGAATGTTTTAGCAGCCAACTGGTGTCTGTCAGGTGGTTTTTAGGCCTTCTTTTACAGGATGTTCTAGCATTTGATACTAGAAAACACACTTTCTCTCAAATATACCTATCTCTGCACTTCAGTTTTCCTCTTAACTGCTCTTTAACCAGTTCTTCCTTTTTCCTGCTTCTCTATTGGAATTTGCTAGCTGACCTCTGATCTTTTTTGAGTCCCACCATACACTCTTTATCCAGGTAATCTTTTCCAATAGCTTCAGTGCTTACTGTCACTCTTAACTCAGGCCTTGCTCTTGTACTCTGAGTTCAGATTTCCATCCGTCATTACTATACTATTTTGGATGACTGGCTCAATAAGGGCATCCTCAGGCCATCTGCTTGATGAGATATAAAAACCTAGCATATCTCCAATACAGATCAATATCACCTAGCTTTGTCTACTTCCTGAAAAATTGGATTTCTGACCTCTGTTCCCATGCCATGTTTTAGGGTTAGGGCTTGGGGTGATAACAGGGTACTGTGGGCACACTTGCGACTAGGTCCGCTCTCCATGGAGGCGGCACGCGAACTGGATGTCCTTGGGCATGATGTTAACACGCTTAGCATGATGGCACATAGATTGGTGTCCTCGAAGAGCCCCACTAGGTAGGACCCACAGGCTTCTTGCAGCGCCATCACTGCCGAACTCTGGAAACGAAGGGTAATGTGGAAGTCCTGAGCAATCTCGTGCACCAGGCGCTGGAACAGGAGCTTGCGGATCAGCAGCTCAGTGGACTTCTGATAGTGGCGGATCTCGTGCAGGGCGACAGTGCCAGGCCGTAACGATGCGGCTTCTTCATGCCCCCGGTGGCTGGCGCTGTCCTGCGGCCCACCTTGATAGCTATCTGTTTGTGAGGAGCTTTGCCACCCGTTGACTTTCGTGCAGTCTGCTTCGTGAGACCCATCCTGCCGGTTTCCACCCTTTTTTTTTCATCCCATGTTTTTCATCCCCACTGTAGTCTAAGCTACTTTTATCTCTTGAAATTTTGCAGTGACCACTGTGTGCATCTTCCAAAACTGCGCTTGCCTCATTCCAATCCATCCATACAGCTGCCAGAGTAATCTTAAAAATACAAAGCTGATCAAATCATTGCTCCTCTTAAATTCCTTCAGTAGCTTCCCTTTGCTAAGTGATTGCTCTCTACACTCCATTATCTGAATTTGTCTTTTTTCTCAGCCTCTCTGACTGCCCCTCCAATACTCTGTACTCTGGCTGTGTGAATTAATCTTTAATTTTGTCGAATCTACTCTGTTTTTCCCTATAGTTTCTCATCTTGAAGCATTTACTCATGCCACTGGCTTGCCCTGGAATTCTCTCACTCACTATATTGAACTGTACTTTGTACAGATTCATCATATTTGTAATTGTTTGTTCAGTGTCCATTTAATGTCAGTGCAGGAAAGAATCATAGCTGTCATATTTACTGCTTGCTCTTCTACTTACCCATCCCTAATAACACCACAGTGTGAACATAGTGGTGCTCATTAATTATTTAATGAATAGTGAATTTCTGTGTGATGCTAGGCAGTTTCTTAACATTTTTGGGCTCAAATCCTCAGTGAATTGGGATGCTGTAATGAAGTACCATAGTCTGGGCATCTTACAAATAACCAATTTATTTTTCATGGTTTTGAATTCTGACAGCCTGAGATTACACTGCCAACATGTCAGGTTCTGATAAAGGCTCTCATCTGCACTGTAGATGGTCATTTTCTCTTATACCTTATGCTGCTGCCAGGGTTCCTTTTTAAAAGCAATGATCCCATTTATAAAAGCTCCAATCTCACAGCATAGTTATCCTCCAAAGACTTCACCTCATACCATCATGTTGGCAGTTAGGATTTCAACATATGAATGGAGGGGGGCACCCACACTAAGTTCATTGTACTGGTTTAGCCACTTACTAGTTGGGCCAATTGTTTACTCTTGTGCTCTGATTTTCTACTCTATAAAATAAAGATAATAAACTATTCTCACCTACCTCATAGTGTTATTATGATGATTAAATGAAATAATACATATAAAATGTACTTGGAGAACACTATTTGGCATGTGATAAGTGTTAATAAGATGTTGTCTGTAACTAATTTTTACTGGGATATCATGATGATATATCATCCTCAGATCAAATATATTTTCAAACTTAAGTCATCATTTTCCTGCTCATTTTTATCCCAACCTGTGCATAACATTAAGTCTTGGAATTATGTACTCAGCCTGTTATCCAACAATGGTGGTGGAGTTTTTATTTTAAAATTTTCTTATGTCAACTTCCCTTTTATTCCCACTGACCTACATTTAGGCCTTATCTCACTGCGTTGAAGTTACTTCGCTGGTGCTTTCTGAGTGTAAGTCCACTTGACCTTTTGCCTGTGTCACACTATAAAACCAATGCAACTGTAATAGTTACTAAATCATGTATTCTTGATTTCTGTTCTGGTGGCCTCTGCATCCATATTCCCCTCCAGCTTTTCCATAAACAACAGACATGAAATAGAAATGTCAAACTTTTACCATTCAGTTTTTGTCTCTGGAACTTGGAAGTCACCTCCAGTTTTTATTTGCTTTCTCAATTAGAAAATATGGTCAGTACTATGGAGAAGAAACACATCAAAGCAAAGGAGAGTATATGAGTACAGTTTGGCCCAGTAAAAGAGAGATGAGTGTTTTGAAAGAAGCCCAGAAAGGGGGAGGTCCCCTGAGATGATTATAAAAGGCTTCAAGGAGAAAGTAGTATTCAAAAGCTTTTCTCTAACCACAACTTCCTTTTCCTGTTATTTTTCTCTCTTTTCTGCTGTGGAACCTAATTTTCACCATTACATGGTTCAAGGTCCATGAACCCTGCCTGTCCTAGTTCATTACCTCTTACAATAAAATAAGCCTTTCACATCTTAACTGGTAAGGTTGAAATCTTGCCTGATTCTTAGAGCCTTCTTTTATCTCACATCTATTCCATCTGAAAACTATACTTTCAAAATATATTCCTAAACTGACTGCTTACCATCAACATAAGTGAGTTGGGTCCACAAAACCTTTGTTTCTTGCCCATATTGCTGCAGTAGTATCTTAAACTCCACTACATTTTCCCTTGCCACACACCAGCCACATATCTGCCTTATCTCAGCACTTAAAATGTACTTTTTATCCCCAAATAGCCAGAGAGCTAACTTATTTTCAGATCTTCCAAGATTTGAAATTTTCACTGAGGCCTTGATTATGCAACTTAAAAATGCAACTTTTCACTCACCTCAACCATCCTCATACACATCTTCGTTTTCTTTTTTTTTTTTTAATTATTTATTTATTTGTATGTGTGTGTGTGTGTGTGGCCAGCTCAGCCCACCAGGGGGTGGGGCTGGCTGGCATGTGGTGCTGGGGGATTGAACCACAGTCACTGTGCTTTGCTAAGCTTGTTCCAAGTAGGTGCTTCAGACCACTGAGCCATCTCACCAGCCCCACATCTTCGTTTTCTAACGTCTGCTTTTCTTCTATCCTTGTTTCTTTCTGTTACAGGATTTACTACTTTCAAATATATCTTAACTACTTTTTATGCTTTCAGTGTTCACTGTTTACTTTGTGAAAATATAAATTTTATAAACCAGCTCTTTGGAATTGTGCCTTGATAAATGTTCAGTGTATATCTGTCAAATGAATTTTCAACTTGCCTGCCTTCAGTCTAGGTTAATTTTTATGATTTTTTCTCCTGTTAAAATGAGATGTGTAGGGGCCGAGGAGATGGCTCAGTGGAATAAGCACTTTGGCAAGC